GGAGGGGAGGACCGAGAAAAGGACGAGCCCGTCTCGGATCCCTCCGCTAAATCCACCCGCGATCCCCACGACAACAGTCTGCGCTGTGCCTCGGCAATAGCGGGACCGCTGCCAGCGGGATCGCGAGTCTGGCCGCTCTCATCAAACGCAGCCAGGCGAGAGCAGAGCGTGCGCAGCGAGAGCTCGCAGTGATGACAATCTTTGTACCCAAGTCGGGTACAGTTGAAACAGTCATTTTTAATACTCTAGAGAAGCCTAACCACCTAATTTTAATTTAAAATGTCTTGAAAGATACAAAAAATGACTTGATTTCGGCTCTTCATTTTATTCCTGATCTTCATTATATACAACTGATAATTTGCTGCTCAAGAGCAGAACATCTAAGAGTTCAATAGCCCACAGTTCATCAGTAAATCACTGATCAGTTAAGATTAAAAATTCAGATTAGGAATAATACATCTCTAAAACATTGATCACTTAAGAACAAGTATGTGACTAAAAACAAATAACATTCATACTCATATTCAGTGAGTAACATGCGCATTAATCAGATTACTTTTACTCAGTTCCGTCAGTTAACTGAATAAAAGTACTCAGTTAGTTAAGTGTGGCGTGAGATGCAGTTGTGTGACACAAAAGGATTCTACAGCTGGTACCGTTGATGCCGTGTGTCTCATCTGTACCCCGCTGACCACCCCACACATCTCTCTAAATCACATAATAACCCTGAAAGGCACCATGTTTTGACAGACTAAAGTCCACAAACATCACCTGACAAGAAGGAACTCGCTGTTAAAGGCAGATGAAGTTAAATTCTTAGCCCTAAAAATAGACTTTGTTCAATCAATATCTTTGGATTAGAAAACCGTACACCCTTTAAATGTTTGCCGATGGAAGAGGACACAACTATGCGTGTGTGGAGCAGAAGTCATAGATCTCACACAAGTTATTAAATGTGATTCAACTGTCATGTGTGGTCTACCCCAATGTATTTCTCCTCTTATTCATATCTATCAGACACTTTTATCCAGAGCCACTTACAAATGAGACATTCTCATAGATGAATAGGGTTGGAACTTCCATTATTTACCAGTTTTGTTCATCTGAAATAAAAATGCTAACAAATGATATGATATGAAATTATACATGATATTCAGTGTAATTGTACAGTATTATTTTGTTATTGGATTTGTAGTCCTATATTATAGGAGTCCTATAGTATCATAACTGTCTGCCTTGTTTTTTGATAAATGCAGATATTAATGAGTGTAAATTGAATCATGGGATATGTGCTCCTGGAACATGCGTGAATCTGGATGGTTCTTTCAGATGTGTCTGTCCTGATGGGTATATTGTCCACAATGAGCACTGTGTAGGTAAGAGCACCACTTCAGATGCCCACCAAGAGATTACAGTATACAGCAGAAATGAGTTCACCCCTGTGCAACATCACTAAAATATCAAACGGCTCAAAATTAAATCACCTCTCAATAATTGCATTATTTAAAAATACTATATTGAACTACTACTACTATATTTTAGGGAGTACAGGCCCCAAAGTAGAAACACAAGCGAATACACGAGTGATCACATACATAAACCTGTGATCAGTGAAACAAAAACATTTGAAACACCAGAACTTTCTCATTTTGGTGCCTATTGGCCGTGTCTGCATAGACAGGAATTGTTAGACTTCTCAGAGATGGAAGATGGAGGATTCAAGAAGATCGGTGACCCACTGAAAATGAGTGGAAATACAGTATTGCAACAGTAATCTAGAGGTACAGAATGAGCCAAAGTACCACTAATCAGAACTGTAGTGGCCGTTCTGCACTACTTTCACAATTATCAAAAAATTACACAAGCGTATGCTGCCTGACTTGAATCCAATAAAACATACAAGATTTGAATCTCAGTAATGAAAGCTGCACTGACTTTTTGTTAAATGAAGTTCCTCTTGTGGGGTCTGAATTGCTAATATAGTAAATCTAAACTGTTTTTAATTTTACATAGGCACATACGGTATACTCTACTCTTCAAGTCAAGTCAAGTCACCTTTATTTGTATAGCGCTTTATACAATACTGATTGTGTCAAAGCAGCTTTGCAGTGCCAAACAGGAAAATAGTTTGACAATAATGCAAGACAATAACAAAGAGTCATTTTTCCAGCTAAAGTCAGTTCATTGATGATTCAGTGATGTCATCATCCAGTTCAGCTCTCTTCCAATAGTGTCTGTGCAATCAGTCAATCGTCCCCAACTAAGCAAGCTAAAGGAACCAAAACTCCATCTCTGACAGAAATGGAGAAAAAACCTTGGGAGAAACCAGGCTCAGTCGGGGGCCCAGTTCTCCTCTGGCCAGACAAAACCAGCATGACGTGGCTTAATTCCAGCCTGTAACACAGGTGCAGAGGACTTGTCTGCTTCCGGTGATCTTGTGCCGATGGTCGTCGAGGTGATGAGATCTTCACAGGGGATCTGTCTCTGGGGCTCATCTAGTTGACATGGTCGTAAGTACGATTCAGAGAAAACGAACGTGCGCATAAAAACACGCGTGTATGCCTCTCTTCCAGATGTGACATTTATAAATAGCAAATTATCTTGAAAATGTGCGCAGCTGACTGTGTCAGATCTCCGCCTTGTACATGCCCCCTAATTAATATCATTGCCATATAAAAGAGCACACGCCAATATCTGAATTTCTATGCTTGAGAATGACGAGCACAAAGAAAAAAATAACTTTACTCAGTCTGAAATTGAGGTCCTGCTGGCGGAGGTAGAGGTTCGTGAGGGGACGCTTTTTATTTAATAATGTGTAATTATTCTGTGGACAAACAATGTGTCTGTGGTTATATTTTTTCTATTGACTATTATCAAAATTACTATTTCTCGAAACAACAGAAAAACAAATAATAATAATAGTAATTATAAAACAATTAGGTTTCCAAAAGTAAGAATAAACTACAAATTCAAGTAAAATCTTCAGTCATCTTATAAAAAGTGAGCCATCCTACTTTTAAAATCACTTGCTATGACAACTAATAAAAAGTTTAGTATAATATCATTGCCATATAAAAGAGCACACGCCAATATCTGAATTTCTATGCTTGAGAATGACGAGCACAAAGAAAAAAAAAACTTTACTCAGTCTGAAATTGAGGTCCTGCTGGCGGAGGTAGAGGTTCGTGAGGGGACGCTTTTTATTTAATAATGTGTAATTATTCTGTGGACAAACAATGTGTCTGTGGTTATATTTTTTCTATTGACTATTATCAAAATTACTATTTCTCGAAACAACAGAAAAACAAATAATAATAATAGTAATTATAAAACAATTAGGTTTCCAAAAGTAAGAATAAACTACAAATTCAAGTAAAATCTTCAGTCATCTTATAAAAAGTGAGCCATCCTACTTTTAAAATCACTTGCTATGACAACTAATAAAAAGTTTAGTATTACGAAATTTATTTAAAGTTTAGTAAACTTTAAAAAACATTATTGAAAGAAAAATTGGACATTTCTGTCAGGGTTGCACTACTGTGAGGAGCTAGGAGACGAGGCGTAAACTCAAACTAAGGTCTTTAATCACGATAATCCAAGGGGTAACACAGGGCAGGCAACCAAACATGGGGCAGACTACACTTTAAATACATAACATAACAAGGTAATTAACAAGACACAGGTGAATCAGATAACACAATCAGACAAGAGAAAAACTAGGACACTGTGAGCAAAAACACCGACAGTCCAGTCCGACAGTTTCATATCATAATAAAATTAATTATTAAATTATTATGTTCATTAACATCGTCTGATCCAGGGGCCAGTGCTCTGCTGATTTCAGCCCTGGAAGAGCAGGAAATGTCTGAGAAGGGCGAAGAAGCTAAGGCTGAGCCTTCCCAATCCTCCTGCCCTGCGTATGATGAGCTTTTGGAAGTTATGGATCGTGCCACAGCATTATGGATTATCTTTCTGGCCATAACCCTCCAGCTCAGGTGAGCCTTCCTTTCTTCCTGATCTCCATACAGAGATCGAGAAGGAATGGAAGAGGACATTTTTCTCATGCATCCATCGATTCCAGCATATGAGTTATGCCAACATCAAGGCGATGCACGAAAACGGCTATGAGAAGATGCCCCCTATAGAGAGACGCTGGCCAGCTATCTCTTTAAGACTCTCTCCTTGCCATCTAAGCCCCTTCAGAATACATCTCGCTTGAATGGCAGGGCATAAGCAGCAGGTCAGGCTGTCGCTTCATTGCACACGATGGTGGTGCTCCAGGCATATCAGGCTGACCTGCTGAAAGACCTGGATAAAGGCGAGGACCTTTCTCTTGATGAGGTAGCTGAGTTGTGCCGCACCACAGATCTCGCTGTCCATGCTACTAATCAGGCCGCCTCTGCCATGGGCAGGTCCATGGCGTCTATGGTAGTGACGGAGAGTCATCTGTGGGTGAACCTGGCAGATATCTGGAAGAAAGAGAGGGGCTTTCTTCTCGATGCTCCGGTTTTGCCTTCTGAACTTTTTGGTACCTCCGTTGAGACGGTGGTCGAGAAGTTCAGGGAGGCGAAGGCGCGCTCAGTGGCCTTCAAATCCTTCATTCCACGAAGGTCCAGGTCTGAGCCCGAACAACCCAGGGGTCCTGGCCCGTCTCGGTTTGAGGATCAGAGACGGGCACAGAAGGCTAGTGTCGCGGCTCGCGCTCCTCCCCCGCCTGCGGGTAGGGGTAGGAGGAATCCTTTGGCCGTAGGGGATAATGTCACTGACAGCCGTCTTAACTTCCCAGGGGCAACTCCCATGGATATGGTAGAGTTGGTACTTAGTGCTCGCCATGGTTTCTGGCATGCACTCCCCTCAGCATGGTGGCGTGGGTATACCGTTCCCCATAGCGACCCCTAGAGGACGCAGTGTCTCGTTCCCTTGAAAGGGAACATCTCAGGTTACGTATGTAACCATGGTTCCCTGAGTAGGGAACGAGACAGTGCGTCCTCTAGGTTTCTTTCCATGCTTCGGACGCAAGCTTCAGACAAAGAAGTGGATCTCCCGGCGCCTATTTATACTATAGTCGCACCGGTAGTGACGTCATGGCTGTCGCCGGCCAACGTGTTGTTGGTGTTTTTTCAATGTATGCTTCAGACATGGGTTACGACGAGGCGTTCCCCATAGCAACCCCTAGAGGACGCAGTGTCTCGTTCCCTACTCAGGGAACCATGGTTACATACGTAACCTGAGACGTTTACTAATGCTGCTCAAATGTGCCATTAATGTACTGACACAAAAACATATAGTGTATTTTACACAAATATAACATGTAAATGACAAAAACAAAGTTTAAGGCTGATGTCTCTATTCATTTTAACAGAAGCAAAGCAGCAGATGTTATAAATAAAAGCAGTTAACAATGTTATTGAATAGAATATAACCATTATTGCACTACATAGGGCTATTCTTATAGGCTACAAAGACAAAACAGTCGGAGATGCGTTTCTATTTTATGCATTAGTAGTAAATTGAACAGAAAGAGAGTAAAGAACTCTCAATATTAGGCTACTAAAAAGGTCAGTTTAATCTTGCAAAAACTCTCGTTAAAGGGATACTCCACCCCAAAATAAAGATTTTTTCATTAATCACTAACCCCCATGTCGCAAGCAGCGTACGCTATCCTGTGTCAGCTGCGCCACACGGATGTGCTGTTTTAGTTCAAATCAAAGCGTAAATACATGTAGAAAACGTATTCTTGTGTCGCGGCTGACACAGAATAGCGTACGCTGCTTGATATCAGTGGATATTCTCCAAAATGGCGCTACGGTGATGCGGAGAGACACAGAGGAGACAAATTGTTGAATAAAGTCATTATTTTTGTTTTCTTCGCGGACAAAAAGTATTCTCGTCGCTACATAAAATTCAGATTGAACCACTGATGGCAGATGGACTATTCTGACGATGCTTTTCATACTTTTCTGGACCTTGACAGTGTAATTTACTTGGCAGTCAAGCCTCCCGGTTTTCATCCAAAATATCTTAAATTGTGTTCCGAAGACGAACGAAGCTTTTACAGGTTTGGAATGACATGAGGGTAAGTGATTAATGACAAAATCTTCATTTTGGGTTGGAGTATCCCTTTAATAAAAAATCTGACTACACTGCACAATTAATCTCTTACACTGCATCTTTGTTGTTTATAATGAATTCGGTGCTTGTACGTACTCCGCTTTTATTATTATTGCAGCTTAGATGTTGAAATAGCTGTAGTACCCAGACTTTGCCACAAGGAAAAGTATGTAGGCCTGCTCAGACCCTGATGTGGCGGTAAGTACTTTTCCACGTCCAACACCGTTTTTATAAATATGAACGTTGCCGTGGATTTCAGCGTACGCACATTCTGAGATCCATATGGCTACGGTGACCTCGGAATAAGAATGAAAGAGACTAATCTTCAGCTTAGAAGCAATGCATTTACTGTGAGGTGATACTATTTTGAATCATTTGAAGTGATTTTGCACAGGGATAAACTCACTTCTGTTGTATGCTGTATGAGATTCTGTTTTATTTTATTATTCATTATTGTATCTATTATTATAGATGTCATTAGTTTACAAAATAATATTAAGTGTGTTGTGAACATGAATATGAATCAATTTGATAGGAATACCTCATTCTGATTTTGTATGATTTTCTTTGTTTTCTTTACTTTTTTGTTGAATCTGTTAAGCTCCAAACTGAAAAAGAAGCACCCTAAAAATTATTTTAAGAAGCACTATATATATATATATATATATATATATATATATATTATCAGCTAACAGCATTCTGTTCTCTCTGTGTGTGCAGACATTGATGAATGTTCATTTGGAAACCCCTGTGGAAACGACACATGCTCAAATGTGATCGGAGGATTTGAGTGTCTGTGTGAGGAGGGATTTGAGCCTGGACCAATGATGAGCTGTGAAGGTCAACTGATAAAATCATCTGAATATCTGATATGGCATTTACTTAACCAGCTTCAGTGTCTTGACATGTATAATGTCATTAAAATGGAATTTTTTTTTTCTTCTGTCTATATTTGGCATAGCGGTCCCACTTTATATTAAGTG